GCGAAGGCGAGCCTAGCAGACCTACTCCACTCATCACCGCCGAGGACCAGCCAGCACCACCAAGGATTGCCATGCCGAGCGATGGGCTTGCAAATCTTCCGAATTCTGGCATTGGTGGTCTTAAGGATATTACGATTCGGGTTTGTTTCTCCTCTATTCAGCTTGCATTTGCCATAAGATAATTTTCCATTAACATTCTTTCTACTCTTTAAAGGCTGGCCAAGACTTACGCCTTCCTGTTACGTGGTTCGGTAGTCCAGAGCCCACAGCCTCTTGGCTACACAACGACCGCCCAGTTGTGGCTGACGGCAAGCGGGCAAAAGTTACCACAGAGGAGGCACCTCACTCTGCCACTCGGCTTCTCGGTGGTCCTTTGGAGGAAGATTCCGCGGGCACTTCTGTGCTTTTTGTGCCAAAAGTAACTCGCGAGGATTCTGGTACCTACCAGGTCCAGCTTCAGAACCCACTAGGCCAGGTGACCAGTTCATGTTCCGTCATCGTTCTGGGTTAGTTTAACTTTCCTATGGATAATTTTGTGAGATGATCATGACCAGGTCCCAGTAATAGAAGTTGTTTTCATCAATTCTTTTTGCGTCTGCTTTTGTAGACGCGCCTGCTGCTCCTACCGGCCCATTGGAGGCAACCGACATTAGGGCGGACGAAATTACGCTCGAATGGAAGCCTCCGGCCGACGACGGCGGTGACGCCGTTAAGAATTATATTCTGGAGAAGAGGGTGCCTGGAAGTGACAGGTAAGTCCAGTTGCAGTAGGTAGGGTAGTAATACACTCATCCCGTTAGCAGCCAGCCGTTGTCATTAGCTGGCACTTGTCAGAGCGGGCTTAAAATTGCATGCATTTTCCACTTTAGATGGCAGATGGTGAGCGCATTCTTGCGCACACCGACAGCAACTGTTCGGAATCTGGAAGAGGGCAAGCCTTACGAATTTCGTGTGATGGCCGAGAATGCGTACGGCGTAAGTGAACCGCTAATGACAGCATCAGCGATCAAACCAAAACATCCATTCGGTAAGTGCCGTTTTCTTTATCCAAGGCCTTTTTACCGAACAAAACCGTCGTCTCTAACAGCTTCACCCAGGCCCTAAAATTTGGAAGGGGTTAGCGGTGGAGATTGAATGCAGTCATCCCTTTGTGGTACTTACGACTTCTTTCGTATTGACAGATGTTCCAAGTGGGATGTCCGAACCGTTTGTGGAAGACGTAACTGATGATTCTGTTACGCTTTCTTGGGACAAGCCAACTCACGGACCTGTTTCTGGATATACTGTCGAGAAACGTCCCAAAGGGGCCAGAGAGTGGACAAAGTATGTAGACAAAGCAGTTTGTTGCGTTTAATTAATCCCTTACAATATCGTTCCTCAATTTCTCAACTTCCTGACGACTTCTTATGAGTTTTCCCATATTTTTAAAACAGGGCCAATTTGGGCAACATCACGGGTACCAGTTATACAGTGAAGGGCTTGCCTACGGGGCAGGAATTCGAATTCCGTGTGGTGCCCTTCAACGCCGCTGGAGTTGGCGAACCAAGTGATGCCACGCCATTTGTGAAGGTCCAGAAACCAACAGGTTTGTTTTTTGCTTGCCTTTGGAGAGGTCAGCGAAGCGGTTCATATCAAGACTATATTATTAATCTATGTACTTTTACTTTTCTTTTTTTATAAAAAACAGAAGCTCCCAAGATTGGAAAGGACGTTCCCAGTGAGGTAAATGCTGTACTTGGCCAGCCACTCAAGATTCGCATACCCTACACTGGCTCTCCTCCAGATGCTGTTGAGCTAATCAAGGTTTGTGTTCTCCTCCACTCTATCCAGTTTTCAATCGACTTTTTTTAATCTGCTCTTGTGTACGTTTTATCGAACTTAAAAAATATCAGAAGTAACCATCATTATCGTTGGGGAGCAGGTGTAGGGTTTTGTACATATGAACATCCGCCACATTGACCAGCAGTTGAAAGCTTCAAATTTTTGTCTAAGGAGTGACTATATTAAACTGAACTGGAAAATTCCAAATCTCAGCTCTTAAAACGCATGTTCGAATCTCCCCACACCCAATTTACCGTTAGTTCATCTCAGTACTCTCCTTGTCATTGAGTATCGCTACCCCTTAAAAGAAATATTGTAAGTGTAATTACATATGGAGCTGCATTATCGGTTTGCACGAGATAAAAAATGCAAAAGACTTCGTTCTAATAAACACGAATACCGGGATATTGGCTTGCTATTTTTTCTGTTTTTAACGATAAATTATTCAGTTAGAAGAACAGAAGTAATAAAACAAACCATACAGAATTGCAATCTTTTTAATGTACGTACCAACAAAAGGGCAATAGGGGCACCTCAAGGTCTCGCGTGAGCCCACCGTCAACTGTGAAGGCAATGTACTGCTGGCTATCTATTTAATTCATCTCGCTTAGAATGTCTTTTAACTGTGTCATTGATTTGTTCACACAGTCCTTGATAAGCAGGTAAAAAATCGATATGCATACTGACTGAGCAATAGACCGAATATCGCGTTCCTCCATGCAAGCGCGATATTCAACTATCTCATCGATCTAAGATTCTCATGCAGTCATAGGCGAAATTTTCCTCTGATGACGACAAAAGAGCTGCTGCCAAGCCAAAATTTTCTTTCGGTCTAACAGCTAGCTTTCGTTTTTATAGCTTAATGTGCGCCTGCGTATCAGTTTCACCAACGCAATTGCCGTTGTCGCATTTACAATCGACTAAACAAATGACGCCAGTTTTGACCAGTGTATTGTGTCCTCAAGACTAATGTTGCTCTCAGATTGTCGCTTGCTTGTAAGATTTTTCCAGCGAGGTTTGTGGATTTGTAAACCCGTGATCTTACGGAATAGAGATGAAGAGAGACTTCACACTGAAAGGAGCCATTATTTCGTAATTTGCAGTTCACTCGTCTTGGAACTTTTACGTGAGCTGCTCAGTTAGAGGGAGGGTTATTTCTGAGCCAAGGGTTAGCAAATTAAGGCATTTAAAGGATCGCTCGGTCATAGCCCACGCCGAGGATCCTTACGAAAGAATACTTGGGCATAGGAGGGTTCCTGGTTTGCGAACCGTGAGGAGGCCGTAGAGTCTCGCGAGCACGGCGTCCCTTCTAATCGATCTTGCTTTCCGAAGCCTTGTCACGTTGTGTCATCATCCCGAGGGACGAAGCCAATTTCGTTCACTAAAAATAGTTGCCTTTTTTGAGGAATTCTCCCTCCCTAAGATTATGCTAGTTGGCTATTAGATTGACATATAGATTTGTCTTGGCGGAAGCTCCCTCGAAATTGACAGACACAACTTCGCGTTCGACCGCGTGAAGGTCTTGGACCAGTTATAGAGCTAAATGTTGAGCCTGCTTCGAGGTATTCGGTCAATGGCTCAATCCATCGGTACGCCGATCTGTTAGGCACCGAGAAAACAAATCAGTGACACACGTGAAGGTCATTCTGGACGGAGGCGAGTTAAATATACAGTTAGCTGCCGCCTTCCAACGCCATTTAGTGTTTGAGGGCAACCATAACGTGCCAAGTAATGGGGCTGTAAGACCCATGACCACTGTGGGAATGTCGACGTCGTTTATAGGATCTGATACATTTTCCGACAAAGCAAATACCTTGTAGGACCTGGGTGATTACTGGACGCTAATGCCTGAACAGGCATCGGTAGGGAAGACGAGTGACATAAAGGGGGTCGGCAACTGCTTTAACCCACAGTATAGCAACATTTTTCAATGTCTGGTCTTCTGAAATGCCCGAATTCCTAGCCCTGCGGGTGTGAGCAGGGCGTCTCTGCTTCCACTGACAAAATGCATGGACCAGGTAACCGATTTGTGATTGCGTACGTCGTCAACCCTGGTAGAGTCATCACAGTCATCAATTTTTGGATGCGGGCGACCAAACATGGGTATCTGCGAGGAATGCGGAGACGGTCGGAATTGCTTGCATGACTGTCCCCGCCGACAGGACTCTGGAGTGCAAATCTCCCACATAATACAGACGGCCCTGCGCTCAAATTCGGGAAGGGTAACTATCTGCGTGTCTTAACCTTCATCCAGACTGTGCGTCGGCCCC